GACGTACCTCCGCTGGGCCTCCCAGGAGCCGACGAAAGTGGCGACAGTTGCGCTGATCGCAGCCCCGCAGGGGACAGGGAGGCCCCAAAGTGATCTGCGCAAGACGTACCTCCGCCGGGCCTCCGAGGAGCCCACGAAGTGGCGACAGTTGCGCTGATCGCAGCCCCGCAGGGCACCGCGAACACAGGAGAGAAGAAGGAGGAGAGGGCGGGAGGTGGATACCACAAGGTTCTATTCAAAACGAGTACCCAGCACAAGGAGGGTTGGGAAAAGGGGAATCCCTCAAACCCTTTTTTCAACGTCCTCCCCCACTTTGTTTCCTCCCGTTCCAGACTTTGGCGTGCCCCTAGTGCGTTGCCGCTTCCCCCCAGCACTCGCTGTCCTTTCTCCTTGATTCATATTTCCTTGCTCTTGGTTCTCCTGCGCCTCCCGTTTCACATCCACCTCCTTTCTCTCGTCTTCTCTCATCCCCCTTGTGTCAGTTTCCTTCCTACCTCTTCTTCGTCGTTCCTTGCGCCTTCCTCTCTCAGCCTCCCTCATGCATTTTCGTCTTCCACACCCTTCGCTAATTGTTCTCCTGGATCTCTTTTTTTTCTCTCGGTTCTGCTGCGTCTCCCGTTCTTCGTCCTCATTCCTCTCCCATTCCCTTCTCCCCGCTGCGTCCGTTTCCCTCGTCCCTTCTCTTCGTTTCTCCTTCACGCCTGGTTGTTCAATGATTTTGACCTCTCGAGCGCTGACCCGTAGCTCTTGGGGGACTCGTAGAGGCCTCTTGGGGCGATCTTGGGTGCTCTTGGGGGCTTCCAGAGCCGCCTTGGAAAAAAGAATTCCCCCACGTTCTTGTTTTTATGGTCGACCCCCCTTCATCCGTTCCCTCCTGTCCCAGGTTTCTGCGTGCCCCTGAGTGCCTTACTGTTTCCCTCATCCCTCGGTGTCTGTTCTCTGTGCTCTCTCTCTCTCTCTCTTTCTCCTGCTCTTGGGCTTCTTGCGCCTCACTTTCCACATTATATCCTTCCTCTCCGCCTCCCTCCTCCCCGCTGAGTCGTGTTCCCTCCGCCCTCCGCCTCGTCTCTCCTTCACGCATTCGTCTTTCCCCGTCACTCATGCGTTGCCGTCTCCCCGCTCCCTCATCCCCATCTTTCCTTCACTCCTTCCTCCCTCCGCCGCCCTCACCCAGCATCCTGCCCCACTCAGTGGTGGGAGGCCCAGCTTGCAAAGAAAAGGATTTCCCCAAATGTTTGTTTCAAGGCCCTCTCCCTTTGTTTCCTCCAGTCCCAGGCTTCGGCGTGCCCCCGAGCGCGTGCCCGTTTTCCCCATACCTCGCTGCCCGTTGTCTTTGGTCTTGTTTTCCTGTTGTTGGTTCTCTTGCGCCTCCCGTTCTACATCCACCTCCTTTTCTTCCTTTTCTCTCCCTCCCCGCTGCGTCATTGTCCTTCCTCTTCCTCGTCTCTCCTGTCACGCCTTCGTCTCTTCCCCTCCCTCCTGCGTGTCTTGTGTCCCTCACCCCTCGCTGTTCGTTCTCCCCGATCTCTCCCTTGTTCTTGGTTCTCCTGCGTATCTCGTTCCACGTCCTCCTCTTTCTCCCAGCACCCCCCCCCCTGCTTCCTCTTGTCCCAGGCTTTGGCGTGCGTGCCCCAGAGCGTGTTTCCGTTTTCCCCATCCTTCGCTGTCCGTTTCCGATTATTTTCTTCCCGTTGCGTCATTTTCTCTCCTCCCTCCCCATCGTCTCTCCTTCACGCCTTCCTCTCTCCGCTTTCCTCATGCTGTTTCGGCTTCCCAACGCTGCAACACGGCCCAAGAGGTTCCCAAGACAGCACCAAGACAGCCCATGAGATCCCCGCGACAGCCCGAGTACGACGAAAGAGAGCGCCAAGACGGCCCAAGATGCGCCCAAGAGGCCCTCAAGACGGCCCCAAGACGGGGGCAATAGTGGGGATCCAAACCGACATTTCGAGCCCAGATGCCAAGAGCCCAGGCGAGGCCCCCGAAGCGCCCCAAAAAATCCTAAGAGGCCACCAGGAGAGCCCAAACCAAAACCCGAGATGCCCCACCCCCCTAAACCCCCAAGAGCCTTCAAGAACGTCCCCCAAAGGCATCCAACAATACTCCCAGCATGGTCTTGCCAGGCTCTCAAGGGTTCTCGGGCATCCGCCTGAGCCTGCCCTGTGACATTCCATTGGACGCCTTTCGCAACTTCCTGGAGCGCTTATTCAGCGTCTCCTGAAGCATCCACCAGGAAGTACGCTCCGATATGGTGACCTTTGCCGGATGATGTCCATCCTCATCCGAACTTGTGAGGTTGGCTAGGACTGCGCTAGAACCTAAGCGCGCGCGAAGCGCGCGTGGTTCTAGTACATATATGTGTGTACACATGTTATATAGGTACGTGTGTACAGATATTATGTATAGGTATGTATATATATATATATATGTATATATGTATATGTAAATATACATACATACATACATACATACATACATACATATATATGTCAGCGGCACGAACCCCACCTCCTTCACGGGGCTTCCCAGGGGGTTCGTTCCGGGCGCGCCAGGTTCCGCCGACGCACCTCCCCCGTCTCCCCAGGCGCACCGGCGGACCCCGCCCCTGTGGTGGAGGGGCGGGGGGCTCCCGTAGGAGCGAGGGGGGGGCTCCTCCCGGAACATGGCGAGGTCGCGGAGTGGGTCGCGGGCGGGTCGCGGGTTGGGTCGCGGGCCAGGTCGCGGGGTGGGTCGCGGGGTGGGTCGCGGGTGGGTCCCGTGCCAGGTCGCGGGCCGGTCGGGTGGCGGGCGAGCGGGTCGCGGCCGGGTGGCGGGCCCTTGTGGGAGCGGAGGCGTCCAGGGCAGTGTGGGGAGCGCAATGGGGAGGCATCCTGAGAATTGGAGGGGAGTCTTGGGGAGACCTCCGGGGACCTCCAGAAGCCTCCTGGGGCCTCGGAATCTCTGCACGTCGTCCTCGTCCTGGTCCTCGTCCTCGTCGTCTTCGACCTCCTCGTCCTCCTCTCCCTCCTCGTTTTCCTCGTCCTCCTCGTCCTCCTCGTCCTCCTTGTCCTCCTCGTCCTCCTCGTCCTCATCGTCGCTGTCGACGTCGCCGCCGCCGTCGTACGGCGCCCCCCCAGCGCTCCCAAACACCCTTGACGCTCGCACGCGCTCTCTGCGGGTTCGCACGCTCTCGGACACTCGCACCCAGGGGCATCCCTGGGAGTTTCACACCGGGGCGCACCAGCGGTGCGTCCCTGGGTGTTTCGCGCATTCCAGGTGGTTTCGTACCCTATGCGGTGCGTTTCATGGGGGTTCGTGCATCCAGGGGTGGGTGTCGCTCCGCACCGGGCACCGCCGTGTGCACACACATATATTATAGTTATATATATATATATATATATATATATATATATATATAATATATAATATATATATATAAGAGTAGGCGAGGGCGGGGCCCGCTGGTGCCTGTACCCCCCGTGGGCGCCCCCCAGGGGTTTCGGGGGGTCCCAGAGCTCCCGAGACGGCCCGTGCCCGCTCCGAAACTGGCCACGACAGGCTAAGGGGGTCCCAAGAGGGCCCAAGACGGTCCCAAGAGGCCCCGAAGACGCCCAAGATGCCCTCAAGACGGCCGACGAGGACCCCAAGACGCTCCAGGACGGCCTCAAGAGGCTCCCCAAGAGGGCCTTGTGAGGCACAAGTCATACGTTTTCCGATGGTTTTTGGAGGATTTTGGCGTTCTCGCTTTTCCCGCTTCCCAACGCCTCACGGCCTCGGAGGCCCTTCAGATCGCTCCAAGACGGCCCACTGGGCCCCGAAGGGGGCCCCAAGACGGCCCAGGAGGCTCCCCAGACAACCCAAGAGTCCCCCCAGGAACGCCCCAAGTCTGGACCGAGAGGGGGACCACGAACCGATATTTCGAGGTCTCTGGCCCTAGAGGCCCTCCGTAGGCCCCTGGAGGCCACCAAGAGGCTCCCAAGAAGCCCATGAGGCCCCCAAGAGGGCCCCAGGAAGCCGCAAGAAGCCCCCAAGGGGCTTCCAGGGAACGCCCAAGAGGCCCCCCAACACACCCCAACAAATCATGTCCCCAGAAAGCCTTCCGAGGATATGGCTCATCATGGGCCCGAGAGTCTCCGGAGGCTCCGAAGTACCATCACGCTACCGCAGAACTGTCTGGGAAGTTGATTGGGAACATGACTGATCGCCTTCTTTGCCGACGTCTGCCGACGACGACGACGGCGGCGGCGGCGGCGACGAAGACGACGACGAACTTCGAATTCAGTGTTCGAAACGGTTGCTCGGCGCTTTCTGCCTTCGGGGACTGGCCATGGGTCGTCGGGCTTCGATCAGGCGACGACGAAACGACGAAGACGAAGTCGACGACGACGACGACGACGACGACGACGACGACGACGACGACGACGACGGCACGCTCCAGCAGGCTCCCCAAGACGCCCCAAAAACTATGTTCTCAGAAGGCCTTCTCGGAACCCGATTCATCAGGCCTCCGCCCCCTCCCACGCAACGATCTTCCCCGAAAGCCTTCCAGAATACGGATTGATACCATGGACTTCGCGCTGCCCATGACGCGTTCAGCGTTATGGACGCTTCTTCACTTCCCGTTTGAATCATCTGTGGTCCATTGCTTCAGTGGAGCAGTGAGCTCGCCAAAGCCTGGGGCCTGCTAGAACCTGAGCGCGCGCGAAGAGCGCGCGTGGTTCTAGCATGCGTATGTATGTATATATATATATATATATATATATATGCATGTATATATATGTATATATATATGTTTGTTTGTTTGTTTGTTTGTTTGTTTGTATGTATGCATGCATGCATGCATGCATGCATGCATGCATGTATGTATGTATGTATGTATGTATGTATGTATGTATGTATGTATGTATGTATGTATGTATGTATGTGTATATATATAATGTATACACACATGTGCATATGTTTCTACTCACCCATGGCGGCGGGAGCGCAGCAGGCTCCCCCCACCGCAGCCCCTCGGGCAGGCTCCAGTCTGCTGCCCGCGGGCACCCCTGCGCTGGCCGCCGCGTTCCCCACGCTGGCGCCCGGCTGCCCCCAGCTGGCCGCCGCGGCCTGCGGCGGGCCGATGCCCGTCGGGCGCCTGGGGAGGGTCAGAGGGAGGAGAGAGGAGGAAGGAGGAGGAGGAGGAGGGAGGGGAGGGGGGAGGGAGGGGGGGAGGGGGAGGAGGGAGGAGGGGAGGAGGAGGAGGAGGGGAGGAGGAGGGAGGAGGAGGAGGCACCGATACCGCCACCCCTCCCTCGTTTTCGGCTTGTGGGGCCTTTGGGAGGCCCTCGTCGCAGCGGTTGCATGCGCTCCGAACTTCTGGCCATTACGCGGGGTAGGATGCGTGAGGAGGAAGAGGTGCCGACGCCGCTGCCCAGACTTCTTGGGTTTCCCTGGGAGAGGTCGCCAGGGAGGACAGACGCCTCTTGACGAGAAGCGGGTCCTGAGGCGTTTCGCCGCTTTGGGCCAAACCCCCCAAATGGGAAGAGGGAAAAAACACAGACACATGTAGTCGTCGATTCCCAGGAAAAGAGGGGGAACTATTGACAGTAGGGGGGGGAGACGAAAACCCAGAAAAAAACAATCCATATATATATATCTATACACACATATATATAACACAATGATTTGTGTGTGTTGATTTGCGTGTCCCTGGGCCCTGCCCCCCCCCCCCCCCCCTTGGGCCCCCCGCGGGCCCCAGGGCCGTCCGAGAGCGGCCGGCTCGGGGCGGCAAGCGGGGCCCCGGAGGAGCGCCCCCGGGTCCAGGGGAGTCCAGGGCCCGTGTTCCTCGGGGCCCGTTTCCCGCACGCCGGGGAGCTTGCCTCCTCTGCTTACTCCACTTCCTCCTGCTCCTCATCCTGCTCCTCCTCCTCCTCCTGTTCCTCCTCCTCCACCTCCTCTCCTCCTCCTCCTCCTGCTCCTCCTCCCCTCCTCCTCCTCCTCCTCTCCTCCTCCTCCTGCTCCTCCTCCTCCTCTCCTCCTCCTCCCCCTCTTCCTCCCCCTCCTCCTCCTCCCCCGCAGTCAAGAGGTTGAAATAATACACCACCTTGGGCTCAGGAGGGGTTTTGTTCCCAACCATCCTGTGGTGTTGGGTTCTCGTTTTGAAGAGACGTCGTCCCGCGTTTCTCCTCCTCCTCCTCCTCCTCTCCTCTCCTCCCCCTCCTCCCCCCTCCTCCCTGCGTTTCACCCACCCAGTACACCGTTTCGTGGCCCCATAAGGAGCTCCACTGAAGGCTCCAGTGGCTGCGTTCGCATGGCGGCCCCGCCCATTTCGGCACACCCCTCACGAGATCGTGGCCCCATAGGGAGCTCCACCGAAGGCCCCAGTGGCATGGCGGCCCGCCCCATTTCGGCACACCCCTCACGAGTGTGGCCCCATAGGGAGCTCCACCGAAGGCCCCAGTGGCCGTTCGCATGGCGGCGAATCGTGGCCCATAGGGAGCTCCACCGAAGGCCCCAGTGGCAGCGTTCGCATGGTGGCCCCGCCCCATTTCGGCACACCCCTCACGAGGATCGTGGCCCCATGGGGAGCTCCACCGAAGGCCCCAGTGGCAGCGTTCGCATGGCGGCCCCGCCCCATTTCGGCGCACCCTTCACGAGGATCGTGGCCCCATAGGGAGCTCCACCGAAGGCCCCAGTGGCAGCGTTCGCATGGCGGCCCCGCCCCATTTCGGCACGCCCCTCACGAGGATCGTGGCCCCATAGGGAGCTCCACCGAAGGCCCCAGTGGCAGCGTTCGCATGGCGGCCTCGGGCCATTTTGGCACATCCCTCACGAGGATCGTGGCCCCGTAGGGAGCTCCACCGAAGGCCCCAGTGGCAGCGTTCGCATGGCGGCCTCGGGCCATTTCGGCACGCCCCTCACGAGGATCGTGGCCCCATAGGGAGCTCCACCGAAGGCGCCAGTGGCAGCGTTCGCATGGCGGCCTCGGGCCATTTCGGCACACCCGTCACGAGGATCGTGGCCCCATAGAGAATTCCTCGTGCTTCGTCGCACCTGCCCTGCGGTATTCACGTTTGCATATGGTTGGGTCCTTCGCCAGGATATTTTTTAGGGCCGTTCCTCAGACCTGGCTCGGAGGGTCAGCTTCGTAGCCGAGGCTCACTGTGGCCAGGTAAGCAGGGCGAGCAGGGTTCGCCATCGGAGGTCTGTTCGGGGAAGGTCGCCAAGACGTAATGACTCCGTCAAAGTCTTGAGCCTTGAACCAAGGATACGTCTCTGTTGGACGTGAGGACGAATGGTCTGCACCCTTCCTTCATGTTGTCAGTTTCACTGGCAATTTTCGCGCGGACAACACGATGCAATCTGAGCACATCAACAGGACCGTTCCCTCGGGCGATGGCTTCGGCAGTTCTCGTGACAGTGGGCGTGGGCCTCCCTGGCTGCTCTGCCGGCCAGCTGTCTTTCAGCAGTGTCCGTGCAACGTGTCTGTGAGCGCGTTGGTTTGCAAGCCGCCGTGCGGATTCTGTGTACGTAATGCCTGCACCTGCTACGGCATTCATCCTCTGCACGTCGAGTGCGAATCTGTAGGAAGAGCTCGGCCCTCTGCCGCCTCTTGTGATGGAGAAGCCGCTGGTGATGAGTTCCGCCACAGGGCCAGCACGACGCCCTGCTTGGTGACGCACGCCAAAAGGAGCAACGACCAGAGAGTCGTAACATGTGACGTATCTCGTCACTCATTTGTCGAGGGGCGCCACTGGGGGGCCTACCTTGGCCGTGCTGGGGCTTCCTAGGGCCCTTGTGGGGCTGTCTTGGGGACCTCTTGGGGCTCTCTTGGACCGTCTCAGGGCGTTCCAGGGCTCAGAGGAGTCTCTGGGAGTTGGCTTAGGACCCTCTTGGGGCCTTCTGGGGGCTCTCTTGGGGCCCTCTTGTGCCATGGCTGGACAGGCCCTCCTGGTTGCTCCGCCAGCATCTTTACCTAACAGCGAAGACTGATAGGTTTCTAGTGGTCTCAAAAGAGAGCAGCAGATGACTCCACAGGGGGGTCTGGGCGGGTGCCGGACAGGGTGCCGCAGAAGTCGTTTTAAGCAAACAGTCACACACTTCGTGCTCTTCGACCTCCCAGAACTCCATTCCCGGGCCACATTCTGAATGCCCGGAGCCAACTGTAGGCCACTTCGTGCTCTTCGACTTCCCAGAACTCCATTCCCGGGCCACATTTTGAATGCCCGGAGCCAACTGTAGGCCACTTCGTGCTCTTCGAGTTCCCAGAACTCCATTCCCGGGCCACATTTTGAATGCCCGGAGCCAACTGTAGGCCACTTCGTGGTCTTCGAGTTCCCAGAACTCCATTCCCGGGCCACATTTTGAATGCCCGGAGCCAACTGTAGGCCACTTCGTGCTCTTCGAGTTCCCAGAACTCCATTCCCGGGCCACATTTTGAATGCCCGTAGCCAACTGTAGGCAACTTCGTGCTCTTCGACTTCCCAGAACTCCCATTCCTTGGCCACATTTTCAGCAGGGGCAAGAGCACGACGAGGAGGAGGACGAGCAAGACCAGGAGGACGAGGACGAGCAGGAGCAGGACGAGGAGCAGGAGGAGCAGGAGAAGAAGGACGAGCAGGAGGAGGAGGAGGACGAGCAGGAGGAGGAGGACGACCAGGAGGAGGAGGACGACCAGGAAGAGGAGGAGGAGGAGGAGGAGGGGAGGGGAGGGGAGGGGGAGGACTACCAGGAGGAGGAGGAGGAGGAGGAGGAGGAGGAGGAGGAAGAGGAGGAGGAGGAGGAGGACGAGGAGGAGGAGGAGGAGGAGGACGAGGAGGAGGAGGGGGGGGGAGAGCACCAGGAGGAGGAGAACGAGGACCACCAGGAGGAGGAGGAGGAGGAGGAGGAGGAGGAGGAGGAGGAGGAGGAGGAGGAGGAGGAGAGAACACCAGGAGGAGGAGGACGAGCAAGACGAGGAGGACGAGAACGAGGGCGACCAGGAAGAGGAGGAGGACGAGGAGGAGGAGGAGGAGGGGAGGGGGAGGACTACCAGGAGGAGGAGGAGGAGTAGGAGGAGGAGGAGGAGGAGGAGGAGGAGGAAGAGGAGGAGGAGGACGAGGAGGAGGAGGAGGAGGAGGACGAGGAGGAGGAGGGGGGGGAGAGCACCAGGAGGAGGAGAACGAGGACCACCAGGAGGAGGAGGAGGAGGAGGAGGAGGAGGAGGAGGAGGAGGAGGAGGAGGAGGAGGAGAAGAGAGCACCAGGAGGAGGAGGACGAGCAAGACGAGGAGGACGAGAACGAGGACGAGCAGGAGGAAGAGGAGGAGGAGGAGGAGGAGGAGGAGGAGGAGCAGGAGAAAGAGAAGGAGGAGGAGGAGGAGGAGGAGCAGGAGAAAGAGGACGAGCAGGAGGAGCACGAGGACGAGCAGGAGGAGGAGGAGGAGGACGAGCAGGAGGGGAGGGCGGCCGGCTGCCCCGGCCGGCTGCCCCGGCCGGCTGCCCCGGCCGGCTGCCCCGACCGGCCGCGCTTGCGCCCGGCCGCGGAGCGCGGTCAAGGGAAGGGGGCGGGGGCCGGCGGTCAAGGTTGATACCCCCTCCTCGCTCGTTCCACTGCCTGCTCGCAGCAGTGGCACCAGCACATGCACAAGAGATTCCTGCATGAACTGTTGTACTTGCATATCTGATGGCCTTCGGCCAAGGTCGTGCGCACCAGGGCTCTGAGGAAGGCTCCCTAAGCTCGAGACGCTTCGAATGCTCTGTAGTTTCCTCGTAGCCTCCTTTCCATGCCTCTGTAGCTTCCACGCACTCCTGCGTCGCCGAGTTTCTTCTTGCAGCGTCCTTGTCGTGTCGCGGGGTGCGTTTGCGTCACTTCGGTGTTGCTGCGCCTTGAGACGTGTCTCTGCAGCTTCTTCGTCTCATCGGGGACTCCAGCGTCACCGAATTTGTTCCCGCATTGTGCTTGTCGTTCCAGGTCGTGCGTACGCGCGCAGAATGTTTCTCTGCAGCGTCCTCGTCGCATCAGGATCTCCAGCGTCACAGAATGCATCCTTGTAGCGCCTCTTCTTCCAGGGCGGCGTGGTCCTGAGTCGCCGCGGACGACTCGCCGCGGACGGTTCCATTCGATTCCACGGGCGATCGTGCGCATGTAGTTTGCCACGCGCCTGCGCGCGC